TCAGAACAGGGAGCAATCCCTTCTCCAGCCCTTTTAGTTTACGTAGGGGTCACAGCTGTTTTGCAGGATTTAGACACTCCTTACTCCAGGGGCCTGGGCTTCGACATTCAAAGCAGGATCCTTTCCCCTCTACTGGCGCTGCTGGGATGGCCCTGAGGTGGCCCTAGTCTTGGCCTGTCTATTGACTGCAGCCAAAATTCTTCCCTGTCTTGGTTGTTAAAGATATTTAAACAAATTCCCTGGCCTTCTCTAGGATCTGAGCCTCTTTATCAAGGATGTAACAGTAAGTGAGAATTACTGTAATATCCCATCAGGATAGGGAAAACAAGCTTCCTTATACTGGCTTATATCTAACACCAAGGAGGACACGTGAGCTCTAACAGTCCTAAAATACATACGTTTACATAACTATTAGCAGAACTTAGTTCTTAGATTTAGTTTTCTTGAGTAACTAAAGACCTAATTGAGATAATACAAAACATAGACAATTATTTTAATGACACATATAATCTTTACTTTTCAGGCAGAAAACTTTCATAATATCAGTAGCATACCAACAGTCTAACAAGCTTTTCCTTATTTAGCAGAGAGAAAAAACTAATTTTGTACCACCTTATTTTTGATATTTAAATTTAGTTAATTCATTGCATTTAGCTTAACCATACATAAAATTCTCTCAAGAATTTCCTTTACAAACCTTCTACAATTTCCCCAGTCCCTTTTAATTTGTCTTCTTTCAACTCATTGAGAAATAACCATTCTTAGGACAAACTATATACTTTCTTTCAATTCCTTCTAAAATATATTTCCATACCTTATACCTTCCTTGAAAACAGACATCATTTCCTTTCATATTAATTAGAATCCATAACCTTCAGAACCTTAATTTTTACTGACAACTAAAAGCAAGCAATTAGCATTTCCACTGGCAAATCCAGGAACATATTTTGCAACCTTCAAAAGTGTAGGCTTTTGTAATAAAATACAAGATAGATTTATGAACAGGTCTTCATCTTTTAGCTTTCCTGGGACAAGAAGCCAGAAATAGATGAACTATATTATATATAAAACACAGACAAGCACATATATTAGAGATTATATATATATATATATATATATATATATATATATATATATATATACACACACACACACATACAAGAACTACTTAAGAGAGGTCCTAAGGTCTTAAAATTGCCCCTACAATTTCAAAGAGGCTGGAACAAGGGGTGGGGGTGTGGGGGTCTGGCTTGTGAGATTAGCTGCTTGTCTCTAAGAATGCCTTTTTTCTTCAGTTACCTCTGCCATCTAATTAATATTTTAGTATTTCATTATTTTGAAATACCTAAATATTCAATCATTTTTATCATTTAACACAGCTTAGTAAAACTAAAACCTTAAGTTACCAACAGGTGCTGAGAAACCATGTCCAAGCACACACTATATAATTATTACTAAATAGTTCCATCTAAAACCTTATTTCAGTTAAAAATTTATTAGTTTTTAACTCTGTGAGGTACCAAAGTTAATTATTACCCAAGCTATTTTCTTGACAAATTTTGTAACAGAGATAACATAAATTTATTTTTGTAAACCCAGGTAAAATAAAAGATACCATATTTAATGTTAATAATCTTAAAAGACATATCTCTTTATCCAAAAGTTAAGACAGCCTTAGTATCAAATATTTTCTTAGATCACATGATCCTGAAAAGTACTTGGGTTAGTTTTTTATTATTTAAATTTATATAAGCACGTAATCTTTTTTCTTTAAGGCAATCAAACATAATCTGGCAATACCATCGAGAGTCAAAAACACTGTATTATATATAAAACACAGACAAGCACAGATATCAGAGATCGTATACATATAAAAAAGATTATTAACAATTTCAGAGAGGTCCTAAGATCTTACAATTGCCCCTACAATTTCAAAGAGGCTGGAACAAGGGGTTCGGGGTTGTTGTTGTTGGTGGTGGGGGTCTGGCTTGTGAGATTAACTGCTTGTTTCTAAGAATGTTTTTTTCTTTGGTTACCTCAGCCTCAGGAATTCCTGGTTATAAGTGGATTAGGAGATGGGTGCATTTTTCTTTTCTCTGAGCTATCAGTTTAGTTTCCTTCTTTTCAGTGTCTACCATAAAGGCTTGTACAAAAGAAATTTCATCCTATTTCCCAGACCTCTAACAGAACAATTCCACTTGCAAAATAGTATAATAATTCAATGAACTGTTGAGCAACCAGCACCTTCCAGAATCTAATATATACATGGCCAAGCTGTACTGCAATAGAACATTAATTTCTTTTCGGTTAACAGTTTATAGCCATAGTTTTGCCAATGGCCTAATATTTTGCCCAACAGGCTCCCAGCTGGGATTGAAACCTTAGATCCCACTATTGAGGTGAAACAAATGCGGCAACATTTAACACAGACTTAAAACACAGACAGACCCAGGGCCGGCTGAGTGGCGCGATGGTTAAGAACTGGCTTGGGATGTCAGAGGGCCACGGTTCGGATCCCACATATGAGGGCCAGTGACACTGCCCTCCACAGCTAAGATGCTGAACAATAGCTCAACCTGGAGCTGGACTGCTGTGAGTCGCTGGTGAAGGTGTAGGCTGCAGCCCCTGTGGCAGTGGGTTGCCATGGGCTACCGTGTGTAGCCAGCAGCCAGTGTGAGTGGCCAGCAGCCGCAGTGAGTGGCTGTCCAGAAGCCGGCGACTGATCTGCCTCTCCCGGGAAGAGGGCAATGATGGTGCCAATTTGGGCCAGTGAAGCAACGTCCTCCACAACTAGACTGAAGAACAAAACGATGGCAACTTGTCTGTTCCCCTTCCCCCAATTCCCAAGCTCTGTTCCCATCCCCCCAACTTCCCAATAAAAAAATCTAAAAAAAAACCCAAACAAACAAATAAAAAAACACAGACAGACCCAGGTTATTCTCTGGATTGGACAGACAAAAACCAGAAAAAGCAGAGTTGGATCTCAACACCAGATAAACCAGATCTAGCAAGGTGCCAGATTTGGATGCAACTTTGTCCTACTCCATATACATGGTCCGTTGACCCTCAGACCATCAGCCAGTGGGCTAAAACCAGAAATCAGATGTGACCTTAAGACCACCAGATGTCCAAAGGCTGATACCAGATGTGGTGGCCTTTACAGTGCAGCAGGTGGGCCCCACTTCCCGGGGAACATTGTTGCCAACCACAAGTACACTTCCAGGACCAGAGCAAGCTTGCAACCAAAGCCCCTTACTAGTGGGGCATTATGCCTTGCTGATATTGCAACCTCACCAATTGCTGCCAAAGGGTCAGTATGACCCTCAGATGGTCCTCAAGGAGGAGCCCCAGATGGTGAGTGCAAAATCTTCTGGATGCGCACACCGCGGCCACCCACTTTCCAAACCAGTAATTAGAGGCATGAAACAGAGCAAATGCTTACTCTATCCCAACTGAACAGAAGGACGTCTGTGATGGGTGGACCCTGGCGCAACTCCTGCCACGAATCCGCCCAGTCCCAGGCAGCCCCTGAGACCCTCCACAAGCTGACTTACTGGAGAAACCCCGAGCCTGTCCGAGTGTAGTCACCAGAAACTGAAACCAGAGGCCAACTGAGTCCAGGCCTTGTGCTGCCTGAGCTGCTTAGCCAATAGACCGACACAGGAGTTGGTCATAAAATAAGCATTTATTATCAGAGCACTGGTGGTCTGAGAAGGAAGCAGGTTAACACATCCAAAAACTGCCTCACATTCTCCGACCGGCTTGGGGTATTTAAGGGAAAAATCTGGGTGTCCCTCTAAAAGCTACATGATGGTTCCAGGGGTCTGCATGGAGCCTTTCCTCTGGCCACGTGGCTGTCTGGTGGAGTCAGCAACCCAGGAACAATGAAGGAAGTAGCCTGGTAGACCACTGAGATTGTGATCAATAAACATAAAGGTATTAACCTTCAGTTTCAGGGTAATTTTCTAAAACAGGGAAATGGATGGGACACGGGACATTCCAAGCACAAGCCACAAGGGGGTGATCTATTAAGCTATAGGTCAAGGAAAAGTGAGGCCAGGGATGTGGCAAGGCCTCTACATGGGGGTCCTACCTGGGCCCTGCTTCAAAATGAGACAAGAATAAAACTCAGGAGACCTTGCCCATGTTAAGGCCACTTGGGCTTCTACATTGATAATATCCAAAGGGGCAAAGTGGTGAGGGTGCCTGACTCACAGGGCACACCTCACACCTTCTCTTCCCCTGTTTCTCCACCAAGTCTGAGCTATTCCTCCATCTCATGGGTAAGGGCCTGGGCAGCAGTCATCCTGCTCCTCAATTCCAGATAATCAGTTTCTGTATTTGCGCTGTTTTTAAGAGAAGCAACACATTGTAGGGATTATTCAACTGAAAGACAAATGGTCCAGTGGGGTGGGACCAGAGGCATAGTGACAGGTAGGGCAGGCAGGAGGAAAGCCACTTGGCAGAGCCAAGTAATCACCCTCAGCATTTATCTGGCGCCTTTCTTCCTCTCCAAACACACTGCTCTTTAATCCCTCAGCACAAGGCAGCTAGAAGGAGGCAGAGGCTCAAAGAGCAATCGTGCCCCGAGGCCACACCGGGCTCAGTGTGAAAAATAGGAACCAATAGGAACCAGATGGAGGTAGGCTCCTTGGAGCCTGATCTCCAGAGTCGCTTGGACATGTTGGGGGAGGCTGATAACAGGTACTGGGAGTGGGGTGGGTGAGGTTAGTGTAGGAAACAATCTAGGTCCCACGTTTATGTTTTTAAACCTCTTCTCTCTAAGTGCTGGGAACTCTAGCTCAGTATTTCAACACTTGTGAGTAAGGTTGGAATTCCAGCAATGTTCCCATGTCAGGGGGACATGGCTGCAACTGACAAAATGGCTAAGGGCCCTGATTCCAGAAGAAAAGACTTTGTGTAACACTCACCCTTCCCACTCGCCACTCCACCAGGCGGCTCTTAGGAAACCCGAAGAGATGAATGAAGCACAGCGTGGCTGAAGGGAAGGGTAAAACGACATTTTATTGCACAAGGTAGCAAAAATGGGACAAGAGTCAAATCTGGAATGATGGTCTTGATATCAGTTCTCCAAGGTATAGGCACTCAACCTAAAATTAACACCCTTTTCTCAGTCCTGGGTGAGCAATGGGATCTCATGTAGGAAAAGCTGGGGTCCAGTTCATGGGGACGAAGCCTAGTGAATTTCATTAGTCTCAGGAGGGAAATGTCTGAGGGCCAAAGCCATTTGGGAGCTCATTCCAGAGGAGTCCATCAGAAAAGTCAGGAATCGCTCAGGCCCACAATGCAATAAAGGCCATGAACGCAAAACCAGCGGCTACACAGCCCCACTTGGCCAGAGGGGCCTCAGAGCCAGCTAGCTCCCGGGGCAGAATTTCTAGGAAGGTGACGTACAGGAAGGTGCCAGCTGCCACGCCTTCTAACACAGCCTGGGCTAAGCCTTGCCCCCCTTCAGAGTCTCCTCCAGCCACAGCCAGTCCGAGGGCTACACCCAGGGGGGACATGAGAGCGAAAGACAGTATGGAGAACGCAGCCCATCGTGATCCAGTGCCTGTCTGCACCAGCCGCAGTCCTATCCCAAACACTACGAGCCCCTTGTGAGCCAGGACAGCAACACAGAGCTGCACGGTGGCCGCTACTGTCGTCTGCAGCCCCACGGCTAGCCCTTCAAACACCGAGTGAAAGGACAGCGACAGCAGGAGGACGAGCGCTCGGAAGGGACTGCGTGAGGGTGAGGGGAGAGGGCCATGGCTGTGGAGTCCAAGGACATGAGCCCCGCCGCACTCCTCCTCCTGCACTTTTGATCCTCCAGCAGCTCCAGGGCGGCACTGCAATGCCAGCGACTCCAAAAGGAAGACCAAGAAGAAGCCCAGGGAGATGATGAGCTCTCCATAGGGATAGTCCTTCTGGGGACAGAGAGAGCGGCTGTGAGACGGGAAAGGAAGGAAGAAGGACAGCGGATGGACGTGGGATGGCGGACTGAAGAGAACGGGCAATGTGGGACCAGAGCATAAAAAAAGGTTGGGGAATGAAACCCAGAGGACATGCAACAGATACCAGAGGACCCAGGGACACAGTGTCAGTAGCAGGACAGGAAAACGATGTGAACCATGTCAGAGGGTGCAAAGGAAAAACGAGAGACCGAAGCAGGAGCTGTCTGGGGTTCCATAAACCCAGAAGGATCGGGTCAGCTCCTCTGTTCCCCAGGGTCTAGCTGAGGAGCAGAGAGATTCCTCACATCCTCCCCTCGGAAGGGTCTGGGTATGACAGAGTCTCCGGTTTTCCTCACCCTCCAGGTAGGGGCTGGTGGGAGATACTTACATGATCTGAATTAGCATCACCAGAAAAATTTCCCTCACTTTCTGTCCTGTTCTAGGGAGAAAAAAGCAGAAATGACATGGGGCATGGAGCAGCTCAGCTTCCTGTCCTGTCTGTTCGGCTCCACTGCTTTCCTTTCCTTAAAGCCCAAGCTGAGCTGTTGTCATCATTCTACACAACACAGAAGCTGTCATCTTCCCTGTCATTCCACCCTTGTCCTTGGCTCCATCACTTTCCCCCTTCTTCCCTTGCTTCTGTTCATCATTCTGGCCTCCCAGGCCCATAACTCAGCTGCTTACCTGCACCATGAACTTCTGGATCTCGGATTCAATTCCCTCCAGGGCTTCAGCGGTCATGTGCATGAACCCTGCTCCCAGGAAAACACCAGCAGAAATGCAGCCCAGGAGGCTGAGGACCCGGTGGTGACGACCTAATGAAACGCAGGAGTTACAATCCGGTTGGCAATGAGGAGATGGACAAAGGTGACTAAAGAGCAACAGACAGCACCAAACATCCCAAGCTTGGGGATGGCGAGAATCAGAGCAAGGAGTCAGGATAGTGGGATAGGGGTAAAGTCAGGCTTAGGTTATGGGGCAAGGATGAGGAAGGACTATACCTGTGGCTCCCTCGATCTGGAACCATTTGAAGTAGATGGGAATAAGGCCACAGACTAGGGTGAGAGCCAGCAGAGCGAACAGGCAGCCAATTTTTGCTCCTAATAACGGCTCCATTCCTGGGGTACAGGATAAGCAGAGGCCTCAGAATGACAAATAGAGTTACAAGCTTTGGAGCAGGAGTGGTGCCTGAGGTGTTCAGAGTGGCAGTGTCCACTCCTGAGATTCTGGAGGCTGTTGTGATCCTCTCTCTGTTCTGTGCTGCCTCTGCTTATGCAGCCTTGCATAGCTGATTGGGGCCCTGCCCCAGCTTCCAGCCCTCCCCTACATGGAGGCCCCTCCCCTGCTCACACCAAAACCAGAAAGTCCAGACTCCCTGTCAGGCACAGCCCTGTGCTCTGTCTTCTTTGGTTCCGTGACTAATCCAAGGGCTGTGGACTGTCTTAGTTCAGGCCTGGGGCTGGCCTGATCCAGTCGATGGTAGCTACTTCCCAGTTGTTTTGTGTTGGGGACAACCTGGTCCTACTTCGCTCAGGACATTTGATCTAAGCCTTCCATACCCTCTCCACTCCAAGTCTTATAGATTGCTATGCTGATACCTGAACCGTACCCTTTCAGAGGGGATTTGGGGCCACCTGGGGGTAGAGGAGGTGGGGCTGAGAGGTGGTGCTGCCACCACGCTGAGAACTATTAATAATAGATGAGGGGACTCCCCTTTCCTGTAACCCCAGAAAAATAGCTCCAGGTATGGAAATGTCTAGTGGGGCGTTGAGATTTCCAGTCTTACAACATTGATATTGTTACAACTTCTGACTGTGCCTGTTTCCTGACATATTATACTGTGTTAGAACAACTGAGAGTTTTAATACAAAGAAAGTTGCTCTAGCTCTGAAACAGCAAGGCCTAAGGGGAAACTGAGAAATGAGCCAATTACATGGAAGGACTCTGTCTGGGCAAACGGGTGGAGATGAAGGCGCAGTCCTGATGGGGATCGCGTCTTGAGGGAAATGTATGAAGCAAACTCTGGGGGAGCTGATAAACCCTGAGAAAGACCAAAGGGAAGGAAGGAGGCAGGAAAAACTTGAGGCTAGGGAGCTGCTGGTCTCCTATTCAGGTGGCCTAACAGCCCTGAGGCCTGCTGAGCCAGTTCTCAGAGTGCTGGGGGCGGCTGTCCCCACTAGTGCAGGTTACTCCCTGGAAAGTTCTGGTCTCTGGTAGAAGCAGCATTCTTACAGGAGAGGGGGAGCTTGAGATCTGTGTGGGAAGATAGGCATTGAAAACCTGAGGAGTCACTTCATCACAGGACAGGCCATGACAACTGACCTCTATACCTTTTAAGAATCACAAGATCCGGGTCAGCTGAGTGGTGCATTGGTTAAGAGTTGGCTTGGGACGCCAGCTCTGAGCAGCAGAGCTCTGGTTTGGATGCCACATTAGGGCCAGTGACACTGCGCCCTTTACAGCTAAGATGGTGAACAATAGCTCGACCTGGAACTAGGCTGCCGTGAGTGGCCGGCAATAGCGTAGGCTGCAGTGAAGCTGCAGTGGGCTGCCATAAGCTACCGTAAATGGCTGGCAGCCCGCTTGAGTGGCCGGCAGCCAGCGTGAGCTGCCAAGAGCTGCCGTGAGTGGCTGTCCAATGGCCAGTGACCAATCTGCCTCACCCGGGAAGAGTGCAATGATAATACCAACATGGGCCAGTGAAGCAACGTCCTCCACAACTAGACTGAAGAACAAAA